AATTGTCGCTTAAAGAAACAAGCAGAAAATAGTATTTCTGTAAGCTTTTCCTGCGCTCGGTTTTCATATTTAAAATAAAATAAATAAAAGTTCTCTAAATACTATTTTCACAATCTTCAAACCATATATTTTTCAGGGAGATTCACGGAAAGTTTTAAAACCGTTTAGAGTTGTTAGGGTTTATTTAAGCAGGAGGCACGAAAAATCTGCAGTGCTTTCGCCGAGATTCGAACACCGGACTTCTCGATAGCTAGTCGGACACGCTATCGAATTACGCTACAAAGGTATGCGGCAAGTAGTGAGAAAATGCCTTATATATTCCTCTTTTTAAAGAGTGACTTGGATGGACAGGACCCAATTTTCAGATCCTGTTGGTGACGAATTACCATCCACCACTTTTGAGTTCGGAGACTACTTATACAGTTTCTAGGTTTATCGATGCCGAAGACATGAAAAATCTGTTATGCCCTCGATGGGATTTGAACATCGAACTTGCCGATTGCCAGCCGGATGCTCTATCCAATTACACCCCAACGGTACGTGGTAAGGAGGGAGGAAATAATTATAGTTCTAAGTGGAAAAAACCCTATGACGTTAGATCTCCAGAAAAAGTGATACCTATATTGGGAAACAGTTCAAAGATATTGGTAACAACAATTGGTAGAAGATGAAAGAATCAGCCATGACTAGCGGCATCTTCTTAAGACCACAACCTGAAAATGAATGCAGAGTGCTAAATGGATATGGATTTGATGAAGTGTGGTGGATACCCACAATTTAGCCATAGGCAATTTGGGTGTTGTCCAGCCGCACTAATTATCCAGATAACTACCCTTCACAAAGCCCAAAAGGGGCCCCTCCAAAAGTTGCTGTGTTGCATAACTTCCTGCCTCTTGCGGACAGGAGGTCCATTTTGTTCATGATTTCCTTTCTGAGATGTTTATTTTTGCTAATATATCTTATAAAATGATTTATTTCATCTTTTGAGTTCGGAAGTTTTTGATGACGTTCAGCTCTGAGGGAGAACTTAAATAAGTAGGGTTCAGGACTGCTTCTTTCTTCACACACACACACTGATCTGATGTAGCTCAGTTCCTTGCATAAAAGTATGTGGGAAAGGGGCCATGCTCCGACATTTTATTTCTCTTGTTATTGAAATGGATGCACTGCCTACTTTTGGGAACAATTGATACATTCTTCTACTTTGCTCGGCGTTGTCCCACTAGTTCTGGCACTCAGCCTTGGATTCATTGGTTACGATTTTTTTAGTTGCGAGCCAGTCCATGGCACAGATAGTTTTGGCAATTTTGACCCCTAGCTGCTTTTGGCTAGTATGTAAACCTCTTCTTTGTCTTTAGTCGCTGCATGTGCTTTCAGCCAAGCGACAAAGAAATGTTGATTTTGTGATGTTAAAGTTCTTCCTGTAATCTCTTGGATTAATTCTGGCCTATGGTAGGGGTTCGCGATGGCGTGCATCGTTGAAAGACTGTCTTTGAAGATATATGGCGTTTTTAGGGAATTTGTTATGATGTATTTTGCTGCGTCCAGGACCTCTACTGGTTACGCGTGGAATACACTGCCTTGTTGGTATGAGTGGAGTTTTTATTCAGTTGTCGTGTTGGAATCTAGGTATATTTTAATTGCGCTGCCTTTACCTTCTCCTACGCCATAACCGTCTGTATAGAACTGGAAGAATTTCTTTTCGTTGGCTTCTTTTTTTATGCTTTAATGTGATGTTAGTTTTCTTTTTCTAGGTGGAACTCGTATGGGTGTGCCAGGTTGTGTCTCGTTCCTCTCTGCTATAAATTCTAGGGAGTTGTAGAGGCTAAGCTTTCGTAGTTGTAGTACTGTTGTCTTGTGGAATTCTTGTTCAGCCACTATAAAACGTGGTGAGCTGTTAGCGATTTGAAAGAGGGCTGTAGTTGATGTTTCTGTTAAGTTGAAAAGAAAGGACCGCTGGATTGCATGAAACTTTTTCTGCTTGTCATTGGGAATTCTTGAGAAATTATTAATTTTTTCAGTTTGCTAAGAGAACTGAAATTCTCTAGTGTATTGTTTACATTTACTTGTAACTCATCTCTGCAGTTACCACTCTCGACAAAAGCTGCATCGTCTTCGAAAGCTATGCATTTAGAGTGTTGGGTCCATTTGTGCTGTATGATTTTGTAAAATGCCAGCTTTCCAAAAATCCGCAGTTAGGCATGAGCCTTACATACAGCCTCTTACTTATTACTTTTTCAGTTATATGGTTATTACCTGTAATTACGCTGAGTCTGTTGGTGAAGTAATCTTGAAAAAGTTTATAGATTTTCGGACAATTTATGTGTCTTTCTGTGTACCTAGAACCTCCGGTCAGTAGAAGGAATAGAAGGCTTTTTGGAGGGCCAGGAATAACAGAGCTGAATGCTGGTTCTGTAGCCCAGAAGGAACTTTCACACTTGAGGAAGAATGATGTGTATCCTTCTGCCTTCATTCCACAGGAGAGACTATTCTTCTAGTATTGTGAATATTATTCCTTGGAATGCTAGACCACTGTTTTGTCCCTTGATACATTGTTATACATGTTTAAACACACGATTTTCAAATCTTTTCGTGCAATGAAATTATGTCGATTCGACACTTATTCATGCAGAGAGACTCCTAGATCCTTCAAATAAGAGGAAGAGGAAGGAATTGCTAAAGTGGACTAAGCATACTGGTGGCAGACCAGTATCATGCTAGACGGTTGTAAGCCGTTGGATGTCTTCGATAGAAAGAATATGACAGAATATAACGTTATAGGGTTATATTCTGTCATATTCTTTCTATTGACTGTGAATAAAGTTGCTCTACCGAAATTTTACTGGTTTTACTTAATTCCTTGGGCAACTTGTAAAAACCTTATTTTATTTTAACCACTTATTTTTAGTTTTACTTTCCTTTCCGTCCCGATTTCGGTTCCCTGCCAGAATGTAAATGTTGTTATGTGCAGCCAATTTAGCTGTTTAGATAACTAAGGCGCCAGTCGTTAGCCATCTTAATTTAATATGCATTTTACATTTTTATTTTCTGTTAATTTAGTTAGTCACAAGTGACGGTGAATTGTGAGCACCAAGTACGTGCATGTTTTAATTTAGTTTAAATAAAAAGGTTATTTAAAATCTTCTTCTGCAGTATTTGTTCTTCAAGACATAACGAGTATTTGCCACTTCCTCCTCGACGTAGAGTCCACGTTGTATGCTTCCAAAAACAGTGAGACTATATAAACTAAGCCTGCAATATGTACAGATCGCTATTTTATCACTTTCTGAAAACGGAGAATATTTGTCTAATCGATCAGTCATCTAGCTCTTTAGACCTAGTTAAATTCCCAGCATTAGAAGGTACACTGCCTCCCCCCCAAAACGGGGGCTATATCTCACGTTCTACTGGGCCGATTGACGAAATTCAAATTGCGTTTCTCATGTCTCGAAAGGGCAATTTAGGATATATATTAGATTTATATACAGATTTATTCTAACATAGGTATTCTGACATAAAATCGGAATTTTTCTGAAATAACATACCAATTTTTTCCCATATTTCGATTCTACGTCTCAAATTATGCCTAGATACTAAATTTTGGAATTTTTGGTGGGAAATTTATGGAGAAATTAAAAAATTTATCTTGGCGAACTTTTTTCAGTTTGCGCCAAGAATAATTCATTCGGCGAACTTCTTAATTTATAGCAACCTATTTTCCTTTCCTTTTTCTTCATTTTCCACGAGCGGAAAAAAAGTCATCGTTTATATTTTCAAATAATCCTTACAAAGCGCGTAAGCCACATTTCGTTATTATAGCTTATAATAAATACGCCAAATTTACATCGCTAACGCTCCCAAAGGAGCAATTTTATGCTATCGCAGAAGGGCTATTAATTTCGTTTTGGCATTTTAATTTGGTCCACTATAAAAGTCTGAATCACTTTTTAAATTGTTGCCACCAAATATTAGAGCCTTGCATTATATTTGAAGAAATTAAATAATGAAAAATCTGCATAAATGTAGGTAAATATATTTTTCGCATTGTGAAAAAACAACGATACCTAGACATATTAAATTTTGAATAACGTATCCACTCGAATATGGGCATCTGAAAGCCCAAATTTGGAATTTGTTTTATTATCTATTCCATATTTTGTAAAACTTGAATTTTTGATTAAAAAAACTGAACGATTTCAAAGCGTTAGCATCAATATCGTGTGCATCTTCAAGTATGGATATTTTATGAGCGAGTTTTTTTTTTTTTTTTTTTTTTTTTTTTTTTTTTTTTGTGTGTGTGTGTGTGTGTGTGTTGTGTGTTGTTATACGTTTATTGGGCTTCAGACCATCTTTTACAAATTGAATTAATAAAACTGGCATTATAAGAGAAAATTTTCGCAGTATATTCTTTTCACACATCCATGTAGATCTAAAAGATACTGCTTTTAAGGAGGTAAGAATATAAAATTATTCTAGGGAAAAATTATTCTAGGAAAAGTTCGCAGTGTGTGTGTGTGTGATATTGCTTTTGAATTGAATTTTATGGTTTAAGTCCGAAGAATAATATTTAATATTTAATAAATAAAGGCAACACACAAAACGTTAAAGAAACGTCACTTTTGGCGTAATATAGAATCTGAAAGTTTCAGATTTATTTATTTTTTGCTTTTTTCACAACAAGAATGTTATGAAATGGACGTTTAATTTCTATATATTTTCTTATTTTAATGATTATGATCTTTTTTAATTTTATATTCTTACCTCCTTAAAAGCAGTATCTTTTAGATCTACATGGATGTGCGAAAAGAATATACTGCGAAATTTTTCTCTTATAATGCCAGTTTTATTAATTCAATTTGTAAAAGATGGTCTGAAGCCCAATAAACGTATAAATCTCGAATATTCTTTTCGAAAAAATTTTAATAAATTATGAATAAACTATTGGCAAATGTCTCGTACAGCCTGCCTATATAAACTTAGTAATAAATTAAATTCTTTTACAGAATTTGGAAACCAAAATGCTTTCTAATGCCTCTTTATATAGTGAACATCACAGTATGCAAGTGCATGATACAAAATTATTCTTGATGAACACAGTTTCGTTAATGGACTGGACCAATCAGTCACATGATGTTGTGATGGATATAGGCTGTGGTCCTGGCAACAGTTGCCACAAGTTACTTCTGCCGTATTTTCCCAATGTAAAGAAAGTGATTGCTGTAGATGTTTTGCCAGAGATGATAGAATACGCTCAGAAATACAATTGCCATCCGAAAATCGAATATCATGTCGCGAATATTGAACGCAAGTTAGTATTCTTAAAGCATTTATTCTTTTTCATTACATGCTTCTATTAATTCTTTTTACGTAGATAAAAAATTCTGCTTAATATGTTATTCATACTTTTGTTTCTAAATTTGAAATAAAATGACCATCGAACGGATATTCTGACGCACTGGGGACACGGTGTAGCACCAGGGTGCCTGGGTCAAGGACCCTACCCCTTGTAGAACAGATATGTTATTTCGAATACTGTCATGAGTAACTAGTATATATTTAGATTTTTTTTTTATATATCCTTGTGATGTACCAGCTTTTGTCTGGAATAAATAGAATGGTGAAGAATTATAAATGTAGTCGTAGCTTAAATTATCAGACGATAAGTTTAAAAAGCAGGATCCATTTATTATATTTCAGGAGAAAATAGCAGTTACAAAATCATATTTCCGGAGTAAATAAAAAAGAATCACTAATAACTTTTTGTATGAAGTTTACTGCATCGTTATATTTAAGAAAAAGCCTCCGATATTCCTTTGCGAGTCCTCTTATAGCCTCTGGAAAGGCGGAGCTTCCAAGAAATGACGTCAGCCTCGTCAGCTAATCCACTTCGCTTTAAATATTTCCAGAACATTCTATAACTGTACGTGTAAAAAAGGCGGGAAAAACAACTTGACTACGGGGCTGTAGAATTAACTCCACGTACTTTCAAATAAGAGACCGTCGCCATTAAAAACGAAAAGAACATACAGTTAGAATTTTAAGTGTATTCTTGACAATGGAATTTTATTATTACATATATATAAATATATATAATTAAATCATGTTTTTAGCATTTTTTTATTATAAGAATAGAGATAAGATAAGAGATAAATTAAAAGATAAATTTCTAAAAAGACTAAAGTGTGCGTCAAGTTTCAATAGACCTGAAGTGCTATCTGGGAAGGCTGAGAAAGGAGGAATAGCCTGATGCAGAAAAAACATTCGTATAAATAATAGGCAAAGTAGTGTGAGTTTCTTGGTGCACTAGTAATAATTAAACCTTATATACAATATGGGTACTAAGTATGGCCATAGGCCGTTTACTATTATTTGGGTCATTAAAGTCGTAATCGTAAATCCTTATAACTGGGTTGTTGATATTAACAAGATTGGCATAAAAGTTTCGGGCGAGCCAGCAGTAAAAACACTTAAGTTGTTCTATACCCAATTCTTCATGTAACTTTTGCTTTCGAGCGTACCAGGGCGAATTGGTAATCTGTGTTAGGAGGCAATTTTGAGCCTGTTGCAATTTTTTTTCCTATAAGATTTGCATGAATATGCCCAGACCGGGAAGGCATAGCATAGTATGGGACGCAATACGGTTTCATAAATAAGCAACTTGTCGAAAGTACACTGTTTCGAGAAATTAAGGGGTGAAGTGTGACTTTACTATAACTCGAAACTTATTTAGGATAGATGTTATGTGTTACCATGATAGAGTTTTACTGAGGATCATCCCAAGGTAAAGGACTGGAACGTATATTTAAAGGACATTTAAAGTTATTGATACTCTTCTGCTATCGGGACCGGATTCAGAAATGTATGTATGCATGTGTGCATGTATATATGGATGTATGTGTACATTTATGCATGTATATACGAACGTATGTATGTGTGTGTACACACACACCTATACGTATATACATACACACACACAGAGATTCCAGTCCCGATAACAAAAGAGTACCAAGTTATTAAACAATTTAAAGTGAGAAAAAAGAAGAAAGAGTGATGCCCATTAGTTTGTTAGAATAATTAATGAATAATTAATTTTGATGCTGTAAACTTATGTCTTTCTGATCTAATTATATGTCCGGAATCGGAGTTTGAATTTATATGTTTTTTTTTTTTTCATTAATGGTATTGAAGGGTGAATATGTGGTACACTGAAGTGACAAAAGTCATGGGATACCTCCTAATATTTTGTCGGTCCTCTTTTTTCCCGGCGAAGTGCAGCAACTCGACGTGGCATGGACTCAACAAGTCGTTGGAAGTCCCTTGCAGAAATATTGAGCCATGCTGCCTCTATAGACGTCCATAATTGTGAAAGTGTTGACGGTGCAGGGTTTTGGGCACGAACTGACGTCTCGATGATGTCCCATAAATGTCCGATGGGATTCATGTCGGGCGATCTAGGTGGCCAGATCATTCGCTGGAATTGTCCAGAATGTTCTTCTAACCAATCACGAACAGTTGTGGCCCGGTGACATGGCGCATTGTCATCCATAAAAATCCCATCGTTGTTTGAGTACGTGAAGTCCATGAATGGCTGTAAGTGATCTCCAAGTAGCTGAAGGTATCCATTTCCAGTGAATGATCGGTTCAGTTGCGCCAGAGGACCGAGTCCATGCCATGTATAAACAGCCCAGACTATTATGGAACCACCACCAGCTTGAACAGTGCCTTGTTGACAACTTGGGTCCATGGCTTCGTGGGGTCTGCGCCACACTCGAACCCTACCATCAGCTCTTACCAAATGAAATCGTGACTCGTCTGACCAAGCCACGGTTTTCCATTAGTTTAGGGACAAACCGATATGCTCACGAGCCCACGAGAGTCGCTGCAGGCGATGTCGTGAGTAAAGGCACTCGAGTCGGTCTTCTGCTGGCATAGCCCAAGGAAGACAAATTTCGCCGCACTGTCCTATCGGACACGTCCCTCGTACGTCTCACATTGATTTCTGCGGTTATTTGACGCAGTGTTGCTTGTCTGTGAACACTGACAACTCTACGCAGACGTCGCTGGTCTCCGTCGTTAAGTGCAGGGGGTCGGCCACTGCGCTGTCCATGGTGGGATGTTATGCCTGAAATTAGATACTCTCGACACACTCTTGACACTGTGGATCTCGGAATGTTGAATTCCCTAACGATATTCGAAATGGAATGACCCATGCGTCTAGCTCCAACTACCATTCCGCGTTCAAAGTCTGTTAATTCTCGTCGTGCGGCCATAATCACGTCAAAGCCTTTTCACATGAATAACTTGAACACAAATGAAAGCCCTACCAAAGCACTTCGCATTTATACATTTTCTACGCGATACTACTGCCATCTGTATATTTGCATATTGCTATCCCATGACTTTTGTCACTTCAGTGTATATTACCTTTTCGAAGGGATTCCTCTTTGCTTGTTATTTGCTAATTACCAAACATGCATGTTTTATTTCTATATCTTTTCTTATTTTAATTAAAAGTGAAATATTTTGTTTATATATTTCTGTTAATTTTCTCTTTCTTCACATTCAATTATTGCATCATCATCCTTTTACGTTCAATATTTCCTATGAAAATTTAATTCATTGTGAAGTCTGATTATCTGCATTGTAACGTCATTCATAGATTTATATTCGCTTATTAACACTATATATGTAGAACTCGCTATCTAAGAAGCAGCCTGAACTGCAGCTTCATATAACTGTTTAGCTCACGAGACGGCTTTGTAGCTGTGGTGTGCTAGACCAACCTACCAGCGTGATTCAGGGTGCCGCACAGTGGGAAATATTTGAAACAATTTCGATTCCTGCAGCAACGCATGCAGAGTTAGGGAATAGACATCAAGAATACAGATTTAGATTTTCATTATATTTTCATTATGCATCATTTAAAGGTATTTATTAATATGAAATAAACAATAACTATTCCATCAATATAAATAAAAATTAAATTATACATTATATGTATCTTTTTAACATATTTATTAAAATAAAAAATAAACAACATAATAACAAATTTTAGCAAATAAGTTTCATCAAGAGCAACGCTAAATGCAACAGTTTCTTGTAATCCGGAATTCTGTTTTGTTGTTGCATTTTCTGCCATTTCAGTCATTCGTCTTTCAATAGTTCGCGCAGAAGCCGATATTTTTTGAGTTCGGAGTAATATTGCTTGTAGATTTGGTAAATCGCTGAACAATATTTCAACACTTTTTTAAAATGTATCCTTTAATATATTCGCCATCTGTGAAGGTTTTGCCTTTGGTAACTACACAATGCGCACTTACGAAACTATATTAGTCTCTTTAGGTTTGGTTCGAATTGCCTGAGGAAAAACGTAATTTGTTTCTTATACCCAGAAAAAGGTCTTTTTATAACTTCAAATTTCTCACCGGAATTCTGAAATGTGGACTGATGTTTAGTTTGAAAATGTCTTTGTATATCTAATGTGTGACGTGCGACGCTTTGCGACATAACACATATACAACACGATTCTTTTTATCTACGAATATACAGTAAGACCACGCTTAACGCGAGGTATACGTTCCTTCAAAGTAGAGCGTAATATGAAACAGCGTTAAACGAGGTTATCTAATCATGTAAATAAAGGGGTTAGGGAAAGATGGGTAGAAAATTGGTCAGATATTTTACTATTAAATTTATTAATTATGTTTTTTATAACAATAAAAGAAAAAATTTATTTCTTATAAAAATAGAAACATAATAAACGAATATACATATAAAAATAAATAAAATTCTAAGTCAGTATGTTTACATTTCAGATCATTCCGTTTCTTCTGTATTTCCAATTTTCTGCCTTTTTGTTAAGAAGGTATCTAATGTAATTTGCGTTTTCCTTTTGCGCTCTATAAGAAGTTGTTGGTAAAAGGATAAGTCATCCATAACACCTCCTCTTGCCTCTGAACTCCGAAATCCTGTCAAAATTTGGGTCATTTTCAATAAATTGGTCCATAATTTCTAATCACTACTTTCAATATTTTTGTGGTTTTTTTTTTTTTTTTTTTTTTTTTTTCCCCTCCGCTAATTCCTTGAGCTCATCATTAGAAAGACTTGCTGCCATGGACCTTATAAGAGATAGACTAACCGAGTGGGCGGGGCGCGCGTCACCGACATGTCGGCAAAAAAGAGTAGGGACGATCTGGTTTACTTTTAACACTGACACCTATGGCGTTTGTATCACACATAACTCTTTTTAATTATTAAATGTGATACGTTGTATAGTGATGAGATTATGAAAGCCACAGTTTTTTCCAAATAGGATTTAATATATTGCATTAAAGCACTTTTTACTGCATTTTGCGCATTTTTTTCACGCGTAATTCTTGTACAAATATCTTTACATTGATAAAACGGTAAAAACTCTAGGCACAAAATTTGTGAACTTAATTTTGCGTACAAAGAACGTAAAATTAAATAAGATTGATAGTACGTGATGCTTTGAAATAAATAAGGTAAAATTTAACAAGATCTGATAATTGTTTTTAAAAAATTAATGACCATTTTCAGGCAGTGATTTTCAAAACTATAATAACATTAAAAAACAATCATTTAATTTGATTATATCATCATTAGCTTATTAACATTAAAATGGAATATTTATTTTAGTAATTCTATAATATCCGGAGCATAAAATTTTCTGAGTGTAATGAAGGAAAAAAAAAAAAAAAAAAAGGTAATAATAAAATCTAGAAGCAACTCAGATTTTATATTACGCCTAAAAGGAACCTTTTTTAACGTTTTGTATGTTACCTACATTTATTGAATATCATGTTCTTCGCCCGTAAACCACATAGTACATTTGAAAACAACATATCTTTAGAATTTCCACACTGGAGATAAAACTGTTATTTTCCGTACAGGTGCTCGCTCTGAACGCGTTGAGTTTGTTTATCAAAAATTCGTTAAAGTTTACAAAACGTGAAATAGATTAAAACAATTCGAAATTCGGCCGTCCAGATGCCCATGTTCGGGTGGAGGATTACATTATTCAAAATTTGATGTATCTAGATACTGTCGTTTTTGTCACAGTGCGAGAAACATACATGTATTCATGCAGATTCTTCATTATTTAATTTCTTTACATATAATACAGGGCGATAATATTTGGTAACAACAATTTGCAAGGAGACACGGAAATTTATAGTAAAACAGCGCAAAATGCCGCTTCGAAACTAACAGCCTTTCTAGGCTACCGTTGCTTTGGGCTAATACATTAAATTAACAGTAAATGAAAAAAAAAAAATCTTATGTAGAACTAAAAATAAATTAAAAAATAATCACTATAAAATACAAGCAAAATTAATTATTACGGTTAAATACAATTTTAATATTAGAATTAAATGTATAAAAATTATTAAGAGTCAAAAGTTTTTATCACTATGATGTATTATGAAATATAATTGAAATAAAATTCCTTCATAGAAATTTTGCTATAATACTCATCTATAATTTTAAAAAAGCAGCACTATTTAGAATTTTAAACAAAACTTTCAAAAATTAGTTTTTAAATGTTTTAGTATTTTTTACTTATTTACACCAATTAAAAGCATTAAAATTGCAAGAGAAAATTGGTTGTTTGAAATTTTCTATTAGTTCAGATTTAAAATATTATTTTCTAAAAGAAGTAGTGACGAATTTCCTTACAGCATAGGAAAAGCTAAAAAAATATCCAGTCCTGAAAGCATGCAATAGCTTTATAATTATTTGAAACGTTAATTATGCTTGATAAATATGCTAAATTTTTCAAAATCAATCTCGATTTCAAAAATGAAAATATGTAGAAATTCTAATTTGTGAAATGAGGCGCTACAACCAGCTTTTTCTTGACAATTATACACGCTGTAATAGGCAACCAATGTTAAATTTCTGCAAGTCGTCCCTACTCCTCCGGATGTAATCAAGGTGACAGCCGGCAACGCCTCAGACGAGGGAGAAAACCCGTTTGGGTTAGTCTATTTCTTTTAAGTTCCATGCTTGCTGCTGTTTCTTACACTATTTCTTCGACATCTTCTACATTTACCTCATCTAAACCGGTTTGTTTCGCTAATTCCACTATTTCATTCATATCGACACACAGTGTCTAGTGTCACCGCCCTTGCTTAGATCTGGTCAAATGTCCTTCCACACCCTTTTCAAACATTTTTCTGTTACCTCATGCATGGAATTTCCTTCTTTACATAGACATTTTTTGGCCTAACGCTGCGTGCAATTTAGGGGAATCCCACAATTCAAATAAAAGAGCGTTAAACCGAAACAGCGCTAAACGGAACAGAGTTAAGCTGGGTCTTACTGTATATTCATTCATCCAAGAGTCTTGAAAATCGGGAACTTTCGACTTTTTTTTTTTTTTTTTTTAGTGGACATTTAATTAAATACTTAAGTATGAATTGTCACAATAATTATACAAACAAAATACAAGTTTTCACAACAAAACTAAGAATGTGTCGTAGCATCGATTAAAATAACACTCGATACTCGTGCATTTAGCTGATTTGCAACAGATGGCAAAGTTGTGAAGCTTATACGAGTAAGATGCCCATTGTCGGATACTCAGTCTTGAGCTTTGTCATTCAATGAAGTGCTCCTTAACTCTTCATAATTTTAACTCGACCACATGTTTTCTCAAGTTATTAATGATGCTAAATTTAATAAATTTGCTAACTATACATATAGCTTTTGTTTTCTTTTTTGGTGACCGTTAACATGTTTGAAATAACTGGTAAATCATGCCAATTGCTTTTTCGCATTCTAAACAATATTCGACTTAGATATGCAGACTCGTATGTACGCAGTGTTCAAAAAAGGCTATAATTTTTTGCTGTTTAAATATAGTATCCTATAGCAGATGTAATTTTAAATTTCAACATAGCAAGACTCCTTAGCCTGTCTCATTGAGATAATCTTAAAAGTAACTGATATTTATTTTTATCAATTCTGCATTGAATATTTATTATTATAAAATAAAATGCTTAAATTAATTTTTTTCTTATTTAAGAGAAACTATTGAACGCTGGAGAGGCGAAATTTCAAAGGTTATATCCATATACTGCTTTAATTGGCTGAAAGATCAGCAACAAGCCTTTAGCAATATCTACGAAGCCTTAAAACCGGGTGGTGAAGCAGCATTGCTCTTTGTATTAAGTACACCATTCTGGGATTCTTACAAGGATCATATTCAAAATCCAAAGTGGAGCACATTTTTAAAGGTACTGTTATTTGTAATTAAAATGGATTGACATTAAGAATTCTTTCAGGATGGAAGAAAACTTCGAGAAACTGGAAGTTCGAAAATGGAGATATTAAAAGATCGAGACTAATATGATAAAATAAAATAAAAGTATAAATGTGTGGCTCTTAAATGGGAGTTTTACAAAATCTTGAAGTTCATAGTGTTTGAGTTAATATTCATTGTACATTTTAAAAGATAATATAAAATATTTTATGGCAGATAAAAGTGGATCGTGATAAATTCTGATAGTTGCAAGAGATAAATGTGAGAAAGTGTAATGGCGAAGCTAGGGTTTTGCATTCCCGGAAATTCAAAAAGTAACTCATCATTACCGCAAAACTTTACTCAGAACTACCTCTCTCGGCCGATTTGCAAAAACAAAAAACCATGTAACCGTTATATAAAAAAATCATGTAACCGTAACACACTTTCGCGAAGAAATAATGAATATCACGTGGGCTGAGGTATGTGAGTTATCAGATGGGCTCCTTAACATGATCTCGCCTTAACCCTCTAAGCGGCAAAGCCGCATATATACGGCCTAGAATATTTATTGTGATATCTGTAAGAGCGTATATATACGTGCATATTAAAATAGTCCTAACTAAGGCACTATATCAAAGAAAACAAATCCAGGTATGAAATGCCAGGAGAGTTTTTGCATTAAAATCGAAAAAAAAAATATTCTCATAGTAGTTTTGGGAAATTTGTGCTTTCTTAGCGAAACAGCTGGCCGCCCAGAAGGAATGGCAAATTAGAATGTCTAATGTGTTATGAGATAGAGTGTATTATAATTTCATTCCTATGTGTATAAGACTATTACAGACTTTTTTAATATTAATTATTTAAATGGTGGATGTAGGTGTTCAATGAGTGAATGGGATTTCAAAGAGTTGTGATAATTGTGATGATATAGAATAAAAATGCCATCCACAGAAAGTGAAGTTTTATGTTCTTTCTCAATGCTGTCTTTTCAAGTTAAATATTGACTAGCTTTGGACCCAGCGCTAAACCTTCAGGCATGCCGCCCTGAACAGAATGGTTCTTTCTGCTCACTTGAATACGTTTTTATAAAGTGCCTGTTAATCAGATTAAGAATGTGTACGATATCACTAAAGAAACTTAGTATTATGAGTTTATGAATGAGTGCTTCTGGTTACACTGGTACTTCTGGTTTTAGAAGGTGAATTTAGAGCGTGTTCTGTCTGACTGGAGGCCACGTTGCTATACTTGATTTACTAGCGATTAAATGTTTCTGCTCATTTAAGGGAAAGAGCTTTCGATGATCTCTTGCGTTAATTACAGTCTGTTACTTTAAAACGGAAACTTCAAGATTATATACCTACACCGCCCAACCATGGTTTGGATTCGATCCCAGGTGAACGGGCTGGCAGCATGGTTGGATTTCCTGATGTGTAACATGAATACGATCCAGTTTGCTTTAGAATGCCCTCCACGAAAGCATTCCTCGTTTTAGCCAGATCGCCCTTGTTTCTTGCTATATTCAAATAACCTAGCTTAACCTACATTCCGGCAGCTGAATTTACTTGTAACAATAGGAGTGATAGCTGATCATAAAAGTCGAGTCGCTTAATTCTTTCTCTCACTTCTTTTCCAAGTAGCGTGTCTCATTTCATGAAAAGCAAGCGAATTAAAGTTGGTTTTAATTACAATTTCAAATGAGGTGGAGAAAACAAATGGTGTGGAATGATGACGACGCTAGTTACGATTGTAGATGGGGAGGGGGGCTAGGATGGCACTAGCTTGGAATACCTATTTTAAAGTAACAGAATATCTTCGTAATATAGTGAAGTCTTCTTTAGATGATGACACACAGTCCCAGACGATTTTGCTCATCTCATGGGATCGTTATCTGTCATCCATGAGTTCTTGTTGCTATGGTAAATTAGAAGCAAATTCTTGACTCCTTTCAAACGTCGAGATTTTCTGCTTTTGCCAATAACCAGTGTTGTAGACTAGAATAGAAGAGAAACACGCTAATGTGACAATCAAAATCGTAAAAAACAACCTTATATTTAGCGTAGGTATATGAAAAATCAATCATTTCGAGGGAGCTAAAGGTCCCCCTCATCAGAAGAAATACATAGAAAGAAGAAATAGGAGAAGGAGTCACGAACACGTAGTGCTTATCAGCACTGCACGTGTTTAAAATAGATTTTCATCAGAGTTGCACGGCCGCCTATTTTACTGAGCAGCTGTCTGATCATCATTAAGAAATATTCGCGAGTTAAAAATAGGGAGCGAGGGGCAAATGCCATTACGCTCAAATCTGAACTTCAAATAATGGCAAAAACCACTGAACGGATTTTTATACCCTCTGGTAGTACCAGCGCGAGGAGGTACGCATCTCCGGCCAAAAATAATTGAAAAGATAGAGAATTTTAAAGGCATTAGGAAGGACTGGATGGACTTCAAATCATTAACTAAACTTTCTAAATCTTTGTGATGTGAAAAGCCTCAAGAAAATCAATTCGCCTATGGAAGAAGCCTTTTGGATGATTTTTGCAGAACAAAATCCCAAATTATGGTTTTAAAAGCCAGCTATGATACGCTTTGAAGACTTGTTAATTTCGCCTTTTTTGACATAAGATTCATGTTCCTTGATACGAAACTTCAACGCTCTTTTTGTTTGGCCCATATATCTTAAACCACACTGACATGATATACTATAAATTCCCCAAGAATTCAAGACAGAAACGCAATCTTTTAGAATCGAAGGGTGAATTTTATTAATAGGGGAGCAAGAAACCGATTGAAAATTGAATTTTCTGGAGAATCCGTGCAATTTTATAGCTAACAGAAGGATAAAATGGAAGCACGACAAGGTCATTAATATTATTCTAACAGTTGAATGTCTTCTTTGATGGGAATCTGAAAATTTTTTTGACGGCTTTATCAATAATCACGGGAGAAAATCCACGGTCAATCGCAACTGCTCTCAAATAATTAAGTTCATTGGTAAGCAAAGATTCAGAGGACCAAACTTTTTTAGCGCGCGGAAAACATAATAGTAAAAAGAAGCCATTTTTGCTTAACGGGTGGCATGACTTGGCATGGGGTGGTAAACAAACTGCAAAGGGGTTTACGGTACAGTGGTGCTAAAAGCGGTTTCATTGCGGATTATAAGAATATCGAGGAAGGGGAGGGAATTGTTGGATTCAATTTCAAGAGTGAATTGGATGGTGGATCAATTGAATTCATAATAGATAGAATCTCGGATAAATCTCTTTGTAACCGTCAAAAAGTACGAAAGTGTCGTCAACATACCGAATCCAAAGACGAAAAGATAATTTATAAATAATTTCATCTCAAAATAGTGCATATAAATGTCAGCAAGTTACCGGACTGAGAGGATTACCCATAGCCAATCCTTCAACTTGACGAAAATATGCATTTTGGAAAAAAAAGGGGTTTGACTTAGAGAAACTTTAGTAAGCGAAACCAACTCATTAATTTCAGTATGTGTGAAGAAGTGAAATTCCCGAAGGCCTAGTTCAAGACAATTTAGTGCTCCTTCGACCGGAACATTAGTAAACAATGATTGACATCAAATGAAACCATAATGGAACGAAGTGGGGAAATATTTTAAGTTTATCAATGACTTCAACAGAATTTTTTTTTTTACAGTGTGAATATTGTTCGCAAGTAGAGGAGAAAATCTGGAAACTAAATATTTTGGCCAAAGGATATGAAGCAGTAGTACCCTATGTTGGAAACAATTGGTCGAAAAGGAATACCGGTTTTGTGGACTTTGGGAAGAGCATAAAGTCTAGCGCAATTAGTAATAGGCGGAATAAGTGATTTCTTCAACTGAGTTGGCAGAATGTGGGAAGATTTAATAGCACTTTTTACTTTCATGAGGTCCGAAGTTGAAGGATCTTTAGGGATCGAGCAGTATGGGCCTTATTTATCAATTTAGAGACTCCAGTAATATATTGTGTGTTTGTCCATAACAACGATCTGTCCGCCCTTATCAGCTTTAAAGATAATGTATTAGTATCAGAATGAATTTCACGTAAAATTCTATTTCCTTTTTTCTAAGATTAGAACCCAAAGATTTATTGTTAAAATTAAAGTTATGTAATTAGGTGGCGGATTGTATCCTTCTGCGTTTCCGAAATTTTGGAGAATTTAAGATTTAACGGCTTCTCTATAGGGGCGATGATTTGAGGAATTGAAGGTTTAATGTCTTGAAAAGTTGAAATTATATTTTATACTTTTAACTGTTCCTCCGAAAGATTCCTATTGGAGATATTAACGATGGAGTTAACGTTACAGTGGGAAGATCAGCTAGATAATTGGGACTATCCGACTGGTGTGTGAGTTTTAGGAATTTAGAAATGAGCACATTTTTATGCCGTTGACAAACGGTATCGGTTCTAGACCAGGATGAATGTTCAAAGAGGAAAAATTTTCAATGGAATTAGCAATTTTTAAATGGAGGTAATATAATTCAAATTCATTTTTAGATAACGTTTGCGTGTGTCCCTTTAATGACGAAGAAGTGCCAATTTGAATTTATGCAAATTTTTGAAACGTGAACGGAAACTTGAAGGCTACATTTCACATGTATAAATTTGGGAATGAAATTTGATGTTTGCATTTAAGTAGAAACTGTTAGATGATTCAAGAATTTCGTACGCTTAAGGCGTAACTTACAAATCGGTTCCGTGTCAGTGGACATATTGTGAAAAGGGCACAAGCAAGAAACAAGTGAAACAAAAGGAAGTAATTCCGAAAGTCCAACAAGTAATTACTTATAACATGAAAAAACCCAATAAATAATGAAGAACAATTTTCATCAACAAATGACAAAAACATTCCAAAGGAGAGAAACATCCAATACTGAAAGCCAATAGCCACGTGGAAAAAGCAAAAGAAAAAGTCAAAATCGTGCACGTGGTAAACCGAAAAAAAAAATAGAATTACCTCGAAAATGCCGGTTGATAGCATAAA